ACCGAGGTTTTATTTGCCTGTTTGGCGTCAGACCCAGATGTTTACCCAAATCGCGTCTAAATGAAGCAAAAATGAACCGCTTTTATTACAGAGGAAGGGTTTAAAAGATTTCCCCCCAAAGCCAGAACTCAATTTGGACTAATACTGGACTGAACTTGGATTTGGTACAGATATGAACCAGACTCTTCAGGTTTGTATTTGTCTACTTTTTGCCAAAAAAAGACATACATTGGCATTACAGATAATGCTTTTTTTTTTTTTACTTTATATGATGTCATGAAGCAGTAGTTTTCACGTTAATGACGGTCTTTTACTTTTGGTTCAGTCAAGAATCGCAATCCAGGGCTGAAATTATCCAAATGATTCTAGTGAAGGTGTATGGAGTTTAAAAACACAATGGAGCACTTCCTGTATTACCACATCACAAGGTGGAACAGAGTGCTTCCAGTTTGAGAGAACAACTTCAGGTTTGTGATGAGGAAATATTATAACATAGATGAGAAAATATAAAATAAAATCGTCCGTTTAAGAGACTGTCTACCCCAAAATCAAAACGTAAATTCTTATTACATTTTAACAATACAATGTTTTTGTGTGGAACTATAATTGTCTGTCTGAAAATGTTTAATGTATTGTCAAAATCCTGGTCTGGTTAATGATCACATTTGAATCTAGATCAGGTTTCTATTTGACTGAGTAGCATCTGATGCAGATTTTTACCCAAATAAATCAAAATGAGCCGCTTTTGGATCACAGAGGGAGGATTTAAAAGCGTCCCCCCCATAAAGCCAGATCTCAGACTAGAACTGGACTGATCTTGGATTTGGCACAGGCTTGAACCGGGCTCATCATGCTGGGTGTGAAAGCGTCTCTCCTGCTTCTCATCTCAGTAGGTTTGTGCGGCTGCGAGCAGTTTCAGATTGACAGGACTTTCTTTCAAGTGGTGGGCAAGCTGAACTGGACTCAGGCTGTTGATCAGTGCTTGCAGGTGGACTCAGTCATTGCATCCATTTTGAGTGCCAGTGAGAACATCGTGGCTCGCCCTCCTTCTGGGAAATCCTGGACTGGACTGAGCCGGGCTTGGACCTGGGCTCTGGAGGGAGACTCTCAGCGGCCGGACTCTACCTGGGTGCTGCACTGGGCGTCCGGTGAACCACGAGAGAGTCTTAACTGCACCGTTCTGAGGACCACCGATGGAAAATGGGTGACTAGATCTTGCACTTTAAAGGCCCAGTACACGTCCTGCTACAATGATTCGGACCAGACGCATCATATTGTGGAGGGGTCCATGGACTGGGGCCAGGCGCGAAACGTGTGCCAGACTAACTTCACAGACCTGAGCTCTGCCCGGGATCGAACCCAGATTCAGGCGATCCTCATGGCGTTCAAAAACCTGACCTGGCCCACAACCACGTCAGGCTCTACATCCACCCCTGACTTCATTTGGATCGGTCTGAGCTGGCGCTGGAAGTGGTGGGACCAGAGCCCGGACCTGTGGCGTGGTTGGGAGCAGGACCCCAATGACCCGGTTAAAGGCTGCATGGTTCTGGAAGACAGCGGGAAATGGACCCAAGAAGAGTGCGACAAGCAGCACGAGGTCATGTGTCTTAAAGGTGTGCAGAAGGAGCAGCAGGCGGAGAAGGAGATTAAGCGCACCAAAGTGAAACTGCGTCTGAATCCTGGGTCTGCAGATCTCAACGATCCGGTGGTCCAGCACTCCCTCTTCCTCCAGATTGGTCAGAGGCTGGAGAGGTCAGGGGTCAGTGGGGCCAAACTGAGCTGGAGTCAGTGCAAAAAGGAGCCCTCTAAAACCACGTCCACCACTGACTGTGTGCTGAAGGTGCATCCCTGAAGAGAGGAGCTCAAAACGTCAAGAATATAATCTTTATTTACTCATGTGTGAATGTAGATTATAGAGATGCTCAGGACTGAACCAGGACTAAAACAGGACTAAACAAGAACTGAACCAAGACTGAAGCAGGACTAAACAAGAACTGAACCAGGACTTAACCAGGCCTAAAGCAGCACTAAAGCGGCACTAAAGCAAGACTAAACAAGAACAGAACCAGGACTGAACCAGGACTGAATCAGGACTAAAAAAGAATTGAACCAGAACTAAAGAAGGACTGAACCAGGACTGAACCAGGACTGAACCAGGACTAAAAGGACTAAAGCAGGACTAAACAAGGACTAAAGCAGGACTAAACAAGAACTGAAGAAGGACTAAACCAGGACTGAACCAGACCTAAAGCAGGACTAAAGCAGACTAAAGCAAGACTAAATAAAAACTGAACTAAGGCTACAGCAGGACTAAACAAGAACTGAACCAGGACTGAAACAGGACAGAAGACGGACTGAACCAGGATTAAATAAGAATTAAATCAGGACTGAACCAGGACTGAAACAGGACTAAACAAGAACAGAACCAGGACTAAACCAGGTCTTAAAGTAGGACTAAACAAGAACTGAACCAGACCTAAAGCAGGACTAAAGCAGGACTAAAGCAAAACTAAACAAGAACAAAGACTAAAGAAGACTGAAGACTGAAGACTGAAGACGACTGAAGACGGACTGAAGACGGACTTAATATGGACTTAAATGTTTGAGTTCATTGTTCACTGTTTTCTGTACCATAGAGAAACTGTATACAATATACTACATATACTGGTACATATATTTGTAATAATCAGACTACAGACTACATGGTTTAAAGCATGCCTCAAGCTGTTTTAGATGTCATCCTCGCATGTTCGTTAGCTGTAAGACTCTGCCCAAACCTCAGCCCACCCACGCTCCCACACGACCATTCTCCATAAATATACAAAAGCCTGATACAAAACTGTACACAACAACTTCACAAACCTGATGCTGTAATTCCAAACAAGTCCTGACTAAGTACTGACATTTCTGTTTAAAATGTCCTTTTTTCTTTATTGATCTTATGTAATATTCAAATTTTCTGAGCTGCTGAATTTGGGTTTTGGGGATCTGTAAGCCATAATCGTCAAAATGTCAAGAAATAAAGGCTTGAAAGCTTCACTCTTTGTGTCATGAATTTATATAATATACAGTTTTGACTTTCTGAAATGAATGACAGAAAAACCTAAACTTTTTCATGGTATTCTCTTAAATGAAGATAGACTGTTTTCTAAATAAATATTCTAAATGTCATGTAAATCCAATATACTATACCAAAATATATAAGTTCTGAATCCAACCTTAAAAGTTGTTATTGAGTTTAGTGACTGATTAAAATTGTTCCTCTGTTTTTGCTGATAACAAAACTGGTCCAGTTATCATTAGTGACCTGACATCTACATGAATCTGGAAGGGCATCTGGGTTTGAAATAAAAAGAGAGAAAATAAAACCCACTTACGTGCCTGGATTAGCTGGAGTTACTCCAACTAATCCCACGAAAGAGCGCGCTTCCAAAGCATGATTTTGTTTCTAAGTTTTTATATCCTGCCAATAATTCTTAATTATCCACAACAAAGATGACATTTAATATCGCTCTTGTGTCAGTAATTTGGTTCCTTTATTTTGTTTTATATTTTTGCTCAGATTTGGCTGCTCTGTGAAGGAATGTTGATGAGATTTCCAACTTGTTTTTGTTGAAAATTATCAAATTTAACTCAGATATTTTCCCTCTATCTTGTAATTTAAATGTCTTTTTATTCTAGCTCATTTATTTTGATGTATTTGTGTGATTTTTTGAGTATAATTATGCAACATGTGGTAAAGACTGGAGGAGTAACAAGATCGTTGAATGGGATCACACTGCCACCTGCTGGACAATTTTGAATATTACAGATGAGCAATAATAAATTCTGAGCAAAAAATAAATGGTCTAAAATGACTATAGAAGCAAACTAAAATATATACATGTTTTATGTCTTTAGTAGGTGCACTCCTTAACTTTCCTGATGTCGTGTATATTACCTGCTCTCTATAGTTATTACTATTATTTGCCTGGAATGTTCCACAGTACAGTATTAAACGTAACACATGTGCAAGGAGAAAAATGGGTGAAATCACTATTCATTCATTTACAGCTCAGATCTGTGGAGTGATGACCCCATTCACAGTGAGAATGCATGCGTTTCAGGGTAATCTGAAGTAGGGGTGGGAATAAATAAATTTTCTTCTTCCCACTCCTTTTTGGGCAAAATAACAATAATAGTTTTTTTTTTTTTTTTTTTTGTTATTTTCATTTCTAATATGATTTCTCTTATGTTATATGTTCCACTGTATATAAATGTAAATCTTTACTTGCCCAAAATAAATGCATAAATAAAAAAATAAAAAAATCTTGAACAGTAAAACATCCACAATTTAAAAAAACAACAACAAAAAATAGTTTTATTGTTAACTGTTAAAGGGCCCATATTGCACTATTTTCTGATGTTCTCTGATCCACCTTGTGATGTCATGATGTACTGAATTAAAGGTAAAAGGTTGCTGTTAAGAGCAAAACTACAACTTCGTGACATCACAAGGTGGAACAGAGCATTTTCAGCTTTGGAGATGTAGGCAGGATAATCATAAAGGAAACAAAACACAACTTCAGGTATGTTTTCGATGAGGTAACAACATTTTAACGTGGCTAAAATCTCACAAGAGTCATTTTTGTGTAATATGGGACCTTTAAACATTCTTAGTAAACCAATAATATCTCCACGGGAAAGGTTACGGAGTGCACCTTTAACAGTCATAGTCGCATAAATAAAACCATATTACTTGGCGAGCATTTAGATGAATTAAATTAGCTTCCTGAAAACTCTACATAGTCCAATATGATTCTAAATGTAACAACAGGAAATCTTTGCCACGCTGAGTCAAATGACAGGAAATTAGCTTCTGTTTTTGTCAGGATAAAAATACACATGAAAGATCAGACCGTGGAAATGACAAGAAATAACAAGGGACTATAATGAGAAGAGCCGGATAAATAATGAATACGTCTGTGTGCGTGTCTGTGTGTGTGTGTGTGTGTGTGCAGTCACCGGCTGGAGGTCAGAGCCCAGGTGGCCCAGGCCTTCCTCACCAAGTTCCAGCTGACCAGTGAAGAGATGGCCATTCTGAGAGGAGCCCGGGACACGCCCATCACAGAGGTACAATTACACTGCCGTTTTTATATGACTGAGGTACGTTTATATGGAAGATAATTTGTTTCATCAGATTTTGAATTTTAAATGCTGTTGAATTTCTCACTTTGAAATTTTTTACTCTGAAAAAACATGTTTGAATTATTTTTATTATGAATTTTTGTTTGCTGAAATTTTAAGTGTACATTTTCAGTGTATAAAATTCAATATAAAAACATCACCTTTTAAATGTTCAGCACAAATATTTTCAAGCCTTCAAATTCAACAGTCAAAATTCAGAGTGTAAAATTCGCAGTGAAGAAAATTCACAGTAAAGATCCGAGATGCCAAGGCAGAAGAAATCGATCCAAAGTGATCCAATCTATCTTAGTAACTTACATCGGTCAAAATTAGCCTCATCGAAACCTCATCTCTTTGATTTGTTAAGTGTAAACCCCGCCCATAGATGAGAACAGCCAATAGGAAACAGCCTCTGTCCTCCTCACTCACATGATCGATTGCTTCTGCCTTGGCATCCAGGATCTTCGCTGTGAAATTTTTCATTGCGAATTTTACACTGAATTTGAGGGCTTGAAAATATCTGTGGTGATTTTTTTGTTTAGTTTGAATTGAAAGTAATCTTCAAATTTCAGCCACTAAAATTCAGTATAAAAATAATTTGAACATCTTTTTTCAGAGTTAAAAAATTAAAAGTGAGAAATTCAGTCGTATTTAAAATTCAAAATCTTATGGAACAAATTATCTTCCATACATTTAAAGATGTAACTTTTCACAACTACTAAAAAACATAGAAGACAATAAGATACGCAACAAGAAATGTACATGTCACTTGTTAAAAGCCAGTGAGAAAAGGTGCGTTTTTAGGAGTGATTTAAAAATAGGTATAGGTTAGGCTCTTCTTCAAATGTTCCACAATATCACATTAAACAGCTCTATCTTATATTTATTCAATTACAAGTGGTTTTACAGCTCAGAAAGAAAGGTTTAATGTCATATTGTGAAACATTTCAGACAAAGCAGTAACATCTTCATTGAGAAAAGCAGGTGGCGGACCCTCTAACAGAAAAGTTACATGTTTTCTGCAAATGAAAGGGTTGGAAAATCTCTAGCCATGAGACCTTGAAGTTATATTACATTATTTTCTGATCTGTGTTATAATGTTGTTTCTTCATCAAAAACACATGTTTAACACACAAATCACTCATAAAGAAATATGGATTAAGGTACCAGAGTTAGAACATTATAAACTATAGGCTATGTGAATGAATGGATGCATTGCTTAGCAGTGGCAGACTGATATCACCTAGCACTTACCTTACCAGCAAAGTAAAATTCTGCTGCTGCTGAGAAAACAGTCCCTCAACATGCGACAATTCATCCGATGCAAGGTTAGTTTTATTTCAAACATTATTCGCTCAACACAGACATTTACATCAACAGTCTGGAGTAATAATAGGGTGTTTTGGGTGTTTTGTAGAGTGGGTAAGACTGTTTTTAGTGGCAGGATATCTATGACCATTGACATGCACTAGTCTAGCACCAGCGACCTCTGCAAATACAAGGACTGGATGGATTATTTTTAAAAAGTGTCTTCACACGTCTCCAACACTCTGGCTCACTAAGAAATGAGGTCCTACGTCCAAAATTCCGGTCTTTCCCTTTAAAACACAGAAAACGCTTGACAGTAGATTGACCTTTCCATTTATGTGCTACCCCAGGATTTCTTCAAAGCTCTGCATCGTGTGAAGCAGATCCATGAAGACGTCAAGGTCCTCCTGAGAACCAACCAACAGACAGCAGGGTAACCATTTCATACTCTTTATCAGGGATGGCACATTTTAGCATTACATTTATTGTGAGACGAAACATCACCATTCACAATTATTTGTAATTATTGACACCAGATAACAGTAAAAAAAACACATGTCCAATAGAAAAGACAGATCACCATTCCTCTAGTATCGTATTAGATACTGAGGAAATTTCTGCATATTTTGTTTATCCTTATGATTATATTGTGACTTGAATCATTAAGCCTCTCACTGAGTTGTTTTAACATTTCCATTCTGTTCATGGGTTTCAGCTTCCTGTTATGTTTTTTGCATATTTAATCGCTATGGCAGTAGTCCAAGTTTTTGATCATTCTGAAACCTTTCGATACACAACAGGCATATTAAATAGTTCCTACTTTAGTTTAAATTCATTCCTATTTTTTTTTTCTGACACATTACATTACATTATGTGTGTGTCTGTCCTATGTATATATGTGTGTACTACGTGTGTCCTATGTGTGTGTGTCCTCTGTGTGTGTCCTCTGTGTGTGTCCTATGTGTGTGTCCTATAGTGAAGTGTGTGTCTGTGTTCCAGGCTGGAGATCATGGAGCAGATGGCTGTGTTACAGGAGACGTCGTATGAGCAGCTCTACCGCTGGGCCCAGAGTGAGTCACACACAGGGTGGACTGTGCACAGGCTTTGCTCTGGAATATGTGAACATCGCAATGAACAAATTAGAGTGGAACACGTTCTGTTAAAGGTCCTACACATAACAATGACTCTCGTGAGCTTTAAGCCAAGTTATGATGTTGTTACCTCCTCAAAAACATATATTATATTTCATTCACGTGTTTGAGTAACCCTTTATTATTAGTCTGCCTACATCTCCAAAAGCTCAAAATGCTCTGTTCCATCATCGGGGTGTGCAAAAATATCGAAATATTGATGTATCGTATCGTTTAATGTGATGGTACAGTATCGATATCATGGGCTGCTGTATTTTTTGGTATATTTTACAAAATTATTTTGTTACAGAGCTACAGTTTTGTTGTTTGTTTAGAGGAATGAAACTCTTCCATGCAACACATTTGACATTTTCACTGTTTTGATGATTAAAATGGGCAGGTTTCATATAAACTTTGCACAAGAAGTGGTTTAACAAAGACTTTTAGTATCACAGCCATGATTCAGCCATTTTTTAAATTAAATCGCATCGAATCGATTTGAAATATATGTTATCGAATTGAAAGTGCACTGTATCGAGATATGTATCGTATCGTGGCCTATGTATCGAGGTTTGTATCATATTGGCAACTTCTTAATGGTACCCAGCCTTATCCACCATGTGATGTCACGAAGTGGTAGTTTTCAAGTTAACAGCTACCTTTTACCTTTAGCTCAACAGAGAATGGAAATTCCAGTCCTGAAATTATCCATATGACTCTAGTGAAGGTATATGGAGTTTAAAAACACAGTGGAGCACTTCCTTTATTACCACATGACATAACTAGGCGGAAAAGACTGTTAAGTTTGAGCGAAGAACTCAGCCTAAATATGTGTGAATGAAACAAAACACAACTCCAGGTATGTTTGTGATGAGGAAACAACATTATAACATACTGGAAAACAGAAAACGGTGTAAATGGGCCCTTTAAGAATAAAGTAGAAAGTTTTAAGACATAGTAGGTTTTTTGAGAGAATTTGGTTTTGAACGATCACATACATAGATCATGACTTTACATTCTGTACATAGAAACAGCAATGATGGTCTGAAATGACTTAAAGGGACAGTCTGGACTTTTGGACATAGGACCTCATTTCCTAGTGAGCCAGAGTGTTGGAGACGTGTGGAAACACTTTTTTAAATATTCCATCCAGTCCTTGAATTTACAGAGGTCGCTGGTGCTAGACTAGTGCATGTCAATGGCCATAGTTATCCTGCCACTAAAAACAGTCTTACCCACTCCACAAAACACCCGAAGCAAATCTATTATTACACCAGACTGTCAATGTTTGTGTCGATAGAATAATTTTGGAAGTAAAACCAACCTTGCATTTGAAGGATTTATGTCTGAGCCGCAGCAGCGAGTTGCTGATAGAAAGTTTGGCAGCGGCGGACTGATATATGAGAAAGTAGTCCCTCAACATGCAAGGTTAGTTTTATTTCAAACATTTTTCTATCAACACAGACATTCACATCGACAGTCTGGTATAATAATAGATTTGTTTGGGTGTTTTGTGGAGTGGGTAAGACTGTTTTTAGTGTCAGGAAAACTATGGCCATTGACATGCACTAGCCTAGCACCAGCGACCTCTGCAAATACAAGGACTGGGTGGAATATTTAAAAAATTGTCTCCACACGTCTCCAACACTCTGGCTCACGAGGAAATGAGGTCCTATGTCCAAAATTCGGGACTGTCCCTTTAACAGAGAAATAGGTCCACTGACTTTTGGCTCAGAACAGTAAAACTTCTTGTGTCCTTGGACAAGACATTTCATTCAACTGAGGAAAATTTTGAGTGTCATTAATAAGCTAAAAAAAAACATCTTAGAAAATGCTTTTTAAAAAAGACATATTTATAATTCTTAACATTTACTGTATTGTTTGCTAAGGTTTCAGTTTGAATTATGCAAAAAACATTGACTAGTAGGTCTGTAACATTGCTCTCTTTACTTAGAAAGGAATGCGTCACCAAATATACGTTTTTTCCCCTCATAAAGCATATAAAAATATCTTGCTTTGTAGTGCTCTTTTAGTTCCACTACAGACAAAACACCAACAGGAGGGAGCGACGTGACCCAGATCTTCATTGTACAAGAGCGGCCATTGTCTGAACGAGCTCCACAGACGTCTGACAGGCCTCATGAGAGATGGATTCGAAAGCGCTGGTCTTAGTTGGCTGTTGTTTTGTTTCTGACGCAGATGAGTGCAGGGGGCTAACCCAGGAGGCGTGTGACATCAGCCCCGTTCTGACCCAGGCCATGGAGGCTCTGCAGGACCGGCCGGTGCTCTACAAGTACGCAAACATCCAGGCACAGTTGTAGTCTAATTAATTAGTTTCAGATCACATGACAACATCTATAGGGTAATAATCGCTCACACAGATGGGGAGGAACTGAAATTAATATTGTTAAAAAGCAGATTTAGATAACAATAACCAAAATATTATCAAAAGTCAATAATATCAACAATAATATCTTGGGCTGTCAGAATATATATCGAATTACAAGTTCCTTTATTTAAATGCATTGTTTTATAGCAATAGCCAAAAAACATAGGGAACTACATATCCCATGATGCATTTCAGTGTAGACAGCATGAAGAAATATGTATTTTGCTTGAATTCTTGGGATTATGACAGTAATAATTCACACCAGAATCATCGCAAGGTATTTTAAAAGCAAAAAAGTGTCATATCTACATTTATATCAGCCTCTCCAAAATATTGCAATAAATATCGTACCGCGAAATGCATATCGTGAAAATATTGTATCAAGAGATTTGGATATCGTTACATCCCTAATAGTAATATAGAGACTTCTAGAGTTTAGTTACAAATAGGGATGTAACATTATTATATCTCACAGTTCGATATTCATTGTGACATTTTTTCGAGAAGTTAATCAAATTGTAAATGGGATTCTTTTTGCTTTAAAAGTATCTTGACAAGACTTTGGGGGGAATCATTACCGTCATAATCCCAAGAATTAAGAGAGAAACGTAATTCTTAATCATTCTTATTGTTTGTTCATCCTTAATTGTTGTTTGCACTGAAATGGATCATGGGATAGGTAGTTTCCCATGTTTATTAGCTGCTGCTACCATAAAACAGTGCAAAGCAAAGCATAGAAACTTGTGATTCGATATATAATTAGAGCCCATGATATTATTGAGAGACTTTTGACGATACACTATCACGATATAGTTACCAGTGGAAGTGATTAGGTTCAGCATTTGTGAATTCACCTTTTGGATATTTGATACAAAGTACACTGTAATCAATAGGGAAAAACCTTGTCTCATCGTCACATTGTAGAATCTGAAAACCATGAATACGGAGCGATGCATCAGGATTCAGATCATGTTCTATAGTAAAACTGTCCAGACTACAAGAAACTCTGAAAAATGGTGTTGAAATTAGTGCATTGTGTAACTTTTCCGGTGCAGGGTCCTTCTACATGGAGATGTTAATGCTTTATTTGGATGTTTCACAGTATAGTGGTATTAAACCTTTCTATCTTCATGGAAACTAAACCAGACCAAATTACAGGTCAGATCTGTGGAGAGGCGACCCCGCTCACAGTCAGAATGCCTGGTTTTCTAGGTATTTATGAGCTATAAAACCACCTCATTTAATAAGTTACACAGTGCACCTTTAAAATTAATGTTTTTTTTCCAACTGACCAAGCATTACAATACTTAATAAAGACATAGAACTATATAGTACGGAACCATATAGTGTGTCTAGGACTTCCAGTGGGCATGATTGACAGGCAAATGAATAAATCTGAGAAAAGCATGGTGGTCTGTTGCACTTTATGATCTAGTCCTAGACCCTCCTGCTTTCAAACTGGAAAAAAAAAGGGCTGACTTGTATTGTGTGGGGTTTAAATCTAATATGTCATTCAAAGTCGTGTATTTTAGATTTAAAGAGTTGTTATTTTGTGTGTTAAATGCAAAAATATATAACTTTTAAATTTATTTTACCAGTATGCCTAAGGCTGCAGTTCTGCTCTCTGTCCTGTAGAGGGTGCAAACCTACCGCAAGTTTGTATGCTATGAAAAACGTGTATTCAGCAAGAACCTCACAATAACAACCCTTATGTTTATGTTAACAGGGCAGTTTTACTATGTAGAACTGATAACTTTAATTTCAAAATTCTTATTCTGAATAATTATATATTTAAATCATTTTTTGTCTGAATAGTCTTAATGGCAACTCTAAGGTACATCAGCAGGACAACAAGACAAGATTGATAAAAAAAAAAATACTAGTAATAAAAAATGTGCTTTATGTTGCTTTTTGGACACATTTCTCACATTTTTGTCTGGAATTCTGGGAAGTGCACCTGTCACTTTGCCCAGAAAGCGCCCAAGGTCTCTCTGTGGCCCTGGAGAGATGGCGTTCTTGGTATCTCATTTCTGAGCTATCTGCCATTGTTTAGTCTGACTGTGACCTGCTAATTAAAACAACCCAGTGTGTCTGGGTCTTATGTTTAGTGATTGCCTTTGTGATTGTTGTTCTAGATACACCCTGGATGAGTTTGGCACAGCCCGGCGCTCCGCTGTGGTCCGGGGCTTCATCGATGCTCTGACGCGGGGAGGGCCTGGAGGGACCCCACGCCCCATAGAGATGCACTCACACGACCCAATGAGGTACACCCCATACAAGGATTCAGACCGGGTTTAAGAGCCTAGACTTTCCTAAAAAAGTACTTTACAAAATCATAAACTGGTTCAACAGAGAGAATTGTAGTGGTGTGGAGGGGTAGCGTTCCTTAACAAGGGGGTATTATGCAAAATCTACGCTTTTTTGAGTTTCTGTCATGTTATGAAGATGTTCACAGCAATTTCCCCAAAAGACTTCTAGAGTTTAATTACCAATAGGGATGTAACATTATTCTAATTTTACAATACAGTATTATCACAATATGCATCTCACAGTTTGATATTCATTGTGACTTTTTTTTTTTGACAAGATTTTGGGGCGAATCATTACTGTCATAATCCCAAGAATTAAGAGAAAAACATTCTTAATGTTGTTTGCAGTGAAATGGATCATGGGATATGTAGTTCCCAAGTTTATAAGCTGTTGCTGCTATAAAACAATGCATTTAAGCAAAGAAACTTGTGATTCAATATATTGTGACAGCCCATGATATTATTGAGAGACTTTTAACGATACACTATCACGATATTTCAGGTACTGTTACATCCCTAGTTACAAGTAGAAGTGCTCATGTTCAACATTTGTGAATTCACTTTTTGGATATTTAATGCCAAAGTACAACGTAATCAATAGGGAAAAACTGTCTCTTGCCCCCCATCATCACACTGTGGTATCTGAAAACCACTAAAACTATCCAGACGACAAACCACTGTGAAAAATGTTTTTTTGGGTAACTTTTCTGGTGGAGGGTCCTTCACACCTCATACAACAGGGTATCCACAGGGTCTTAAAAGTCTTAAAAAGGTCTTAAATTTCATGTTCCTAAATTAAGGCCTTAAAAAGTCTTATATTATGTTGTCCAAGTCTTATTTTTTTCACAAAGGTCTTAAATTTCATTAGCCTATTTTTGTTAAACTCAACTGGACTGCAGTGCGATGTTAAACGGAGGAGGAAGGAAAAAAAAACAATGTGAAATCACATAACGGGGAATGAACGTCTAATTTGGAGTATACACAAACAATACTTTTTGTTTGTTAGAATATTTTAAATGAATTTTTGGCCATTTTACAAGCAACGCATACTACTTTTAATGAGTTCTGAATGAGATTTTATAATGAAAGTATTTTTTGTTTTTTAAATCAGTGGGTAATGGTCATGATTAGAATTGGATCTGGTGTTTTTCGCCCACATAATGGGTGCGATGTTGGATTTTAATTTTAATTTTTAAGTGGTCTTAAAAAGGTCTTTAAAAAGTCTTAAATTTGGGGTAGTCAAAACTGGGGATACCTTGTACAAGCATTCAGACTGGGTTTAAGAGTGTAGACATTCCTAAAAAGTACTTTACAAAATCATAAACTGGTTCAACAGACAGAATTGTACTTCAGTAGGGTTAGTAGTATTGTGGAAGTTAGTGTTCCTCCTTTATGCAAAATCTAAATTTTTTGGAGTTTCTGTCATGTTATAAAGATGCTCCCTCATCAAAAACAAGCTTACGTCACTCATGCTCCCACACGGCAATTTCCCCAAAATACACAAAAGCATGATACAAGGGCAGAGGACTCAGAGCGTCAAAATGAAACTTATTAAACATGTTAATCTGACGCTTTCAACAAATCTAGCATTTTCAAGAGAATTAAAGGTTAATATGGTTATGTACCTTTCGTTATGTAAGGCACTTCAGACTGTTGACTCCAAAATTATTTTACTTCTTTGACATCATTCATTGAGTCACTCATTGTGTCCTTGAGCAAGACATTTCTTTTACCTTGTCTGTGCTTATGTAACTGTGAATGGTGCTTATCAGAGAGGCTAGTGACTTGGCCTAAAACTGTTTAATAGACTGATTATTAACAGTGGAAAAACCATCAAATTTTCTTGAAAATATTACATTTAAGCTTCAATTTGCACTGAACTGTATGTTTAAAAAGTAGTGTTCTGTTCACTCATTCTGTGCACTTTGTAAACATCTCCAGGACCATTATCATGAACTAATACACTAAAACTAATACAAGAATCCATTACATTTTAGAACGGTTTTGTGGATTTTTCTATAAAAGTTCAGGATATTTTGTTCTTTAAGGATGTTTTATTATCTTTATAATGTGATAATTGTGCCAACTCAAATTGTGATGTGAATTTTGATGCTCGGCATAGACTCAATACTCTGGCAATAATAAAAAAGGACTCTTAATTTAGATAATAGATCATTAAATCATTGTACTTTCTTTTATGGTACTAAGTGGTCCAGATAGGTTCCCTAGTGGTCTGTGGGTGTATACTAAATCTGTCTATCATTTGTTCATTCGTTTTTCAATATAAAACCAAAAATAAGAAAACGAAAAAACAGTTATTTTCTTTATTATTTGTCTCCAAAACCAAAATGAAAAAATTGATATAAACAATTCATTTTTTTGTTTTCGATTTTGTGTTTAAATGAATAACGTCCTGCGATGCCGGACTTTTGCACTTCATACAGATTGAACCATTACTGAATCATGACTAAAACAAGACTAAACCAGGACTAAATCATTTTCAGTCCTGGTCTGGTCCCAGTCTCAGTCACCGTCTGGTCCTGGTCTCAGTCCCGTTCTCAGCCCCGTTCTCAGTCCTGGTCTCAGTCCCGGTCTAGTCTCGGTCTCAGTCCCGGTCTTAGTCCTGGTCTCAGTTCTGTTCTAGTCCCAGTCTCAGTCCTGGTCTCAGTCCTGGTCTCAGTTCTGGTCTTAGTTCTGGTCTGGTCTCGGTCTCAGTCCCGGTCTTAATTCTGGTCTGGTCCCGGTCTCAGTCCCGGTATCAGTCCCAGTCTCAGTCCTGGTCTCGGTCTGGTTCTAGTCTGGTTCTGGACCTGGTTTAGTCCTGGTTTAGTCCTAGCTCAATCCGTATGTGGAATAAAAGTCCAAAATCACAGTTTAAGTCACAAAAAAAGGAAAAGGGCGTTTTCCGTTTTTTCCATTATTCATTTAAACACAAAATCGAAAACTGAAAAAACAAATCATTATCCATTTTTTCATTTTGGTTTTGGAGACAAATAATGAAGAAAATAGTTGTTTTTTTGTTTTCTTATTTTTGTTTTTATTTTGAAAAATGAATGAACAAATGATACATGGATTATACTAGTCTATGTGCTCTTATACTTGTTCTGATTCAGCTCAAAATCTTTCTAAATCTATTCAGGAAAGGTTCATTTTTGTCCAGTGAATATGACTTTTTTTTGTATCGACACCTGCTCAAATGAGTATCTTGTTTAAACTAGTTTTAATATTGATTAGTCTCTGATTTTCAATACTTTCACAATGCAACTATTATTTAGCATCTCATTTCATTGCTGACATTTTAGATAGATAGTTCTTAAAGTAGCCGTGTACCTTTATTGTCAGCACACCCCCTCCTCTAGTACTTCTGAGCTAAATCTGTAATGCCATTGTGTCTTTATTTCCTGACTCACATCCGCCGCCATTTTGTGCCCTGCCCAGGAGCCAAATACGATAGTTTCCTCGAAAAGCATCCATTTAACACCTCTTTCACCTGACACTTCTGAGAAAGTCCTGCTCACGTCGACTCATACATCACCCCTGCAGTACACTGGCCTGATGTGATTACGTGTGCGTTTGTGTTTGTGTGTATGTTTGTGTGTTTGTGTGCGTGTGAGGGCTGATCCTGGTTCTGTATGTTCCAGGTATGTTGGGGACATGTTGGCCTGGCTGCATCAAGCTACCGCTTCGGAGAAGGAGCATTTGGAGGCTCTGCTCAAGCAAGTCACAATAGCAGGTGGGTTTGAATGCAGTAGTGAGAAATAATTGCTCATTTTTATTGTGTTTTCTTATCGTTTTAGAATTTCAGACCCTTTTAATAGTAGTATGAGGAAACTTTGAGGTGTCAAGGTGATGATATTCAACTTGCATACTGTTTTTATATCCCCTTTGCCTAATCTAGTCACAGTAATGTAGCTGGACTTCATTAGAAAGAGCTCCCGATCTAAAAATTGTACAAATATTTGCGCCTAAACCATCTGTAAAGGTACACAAGTATGTAACTTTCTAGAGGTAGCATGTCACCTGTAGGATCCCATGGAAATGCAAAGTTAAAACTACATTTCGACTCTAGGTTTGTCTGTTTGACCGAGTTAGTGTTTACTACTTAATTAGGTGATGTTTGTGTAATGAGAAAAACTGAAATTTGTGCTCAGATTGCTCTGTGTGTGTATTAAAGTGTTGAAAACTTAATAAATTATGTAAAAAACACACACCCACACATTTTTCGGATCATTCTCCGTGGAGATAGGTATGTTTATGCTATACTGTGGAATAATAGCCAAATAGAAAATAACCAAAGGGACAATGTTTCCATGGAAAAAAGCAGGGGAGGTTTTTGTCTTCTGAGAAATAAGTCAGGTTTGTGGAGATGCAAGCCTGCTCCTCACAATAAGGACACATGTTTTTCAGTGCAATAAACACAACCACAACTTTTATGCATTTTTTGGACTAAATAGTTATAACATTGCTGTAGCTTTAATTAAACTCAAATATAATTGCATTTATTCTAATTTGATATAGAAAAAATGTGAATTACAATGTTAATACTGACCCTCTGAGGTGTCCTTGACAGTAATAATAGCACAGAATAGCAAATTTTTACCTTAAAAATCAAGTTCATCTGTCAATACCCAGACCCAACTATTAATCTAATAAAAAGGGCTGTATTTCTTCTCAAAATTATAGTAAAAGTGGTTCATGTAAAATGATTGTTCACTGTGTTCTAGGCATGGGATGATATTAAAATTTAGTGTCACAATTACCATGGCCAAAATAATTGCGACATTAACAATTATATCACAATATTTATTAAAGTTGCTGACAGTTTAAAAATGTTATGGGTGTGAATAATTTGAATTTTAATATTATGAATAAGTTCCATGTTTAAACAACTTTTATATGATTGTATCTAGTGAAAACAACTATTAGTGGAGCTCATGATGCTTAAGTAGCTTTTTTCTACACATGTTGGTGATAGAATGGCGATTATCTTTGTTGGCGATTCTCACAATTATACAAAATGGCTCACAAAGGATTATTATCTACCCTTTCTATAGATATTTAAATGATATTGTTGTTTATTGTCTCATTCGTATCTGTGTTTCAGGTGTGGAGGAGAACATGCAGGAGGTGGTAGGACACATTACAGAGGGAGTGTGCAGACCGCTCAAGGTGAGACCAGAAGAGCCTCCAGTCTGAAGATCTACAGGTACCATGCTTTAGTTTTCTATGTTTTCTGTACTGTGATGTGTGCAGGTGAGGATAGAGCAGGTGATTGTGGCAGAGCCTGGAGCTGTCCTGCTCTACAAACTCTCAAACCTCCTCAAGTTCTACCATCACACCATAAGGTACTCTTTATTTCTGCACTAATTATTAAACTAATTATTAAAACAAACACAATTAAAACATCTATAAAGAAATAAATGCGTAGTGTGGGACATTCCAATACCATCTCCACAGACACAAGAGGTGGCAGGCTCGTCACAAAAAAAGTTCCACTTGTTCTTTAATTACATAAGACAATGTTTTAGCAGAGTTTGCGGTAACACTTTATAATAACTACACCTTATTTAGCCTTAATAAAGCATGAACAAAGGCTTAATTAATAATGAATAAAGACTTAATTAATAATGATTCACGCTTAGTAACTACTTAATTACTACCTTAATTAGCACTTGCACTTAATTTGCCTGTGCTGTAAATAGTTACTCATAATTATTTCATACTTAATTACTCATGAACTAACCATTTGAGCTTTTATTAATCATTAGTAAACTATGAGAGAATGATTTACTTATAATGCAATGATAATTCAGGCAGCTGTTATCTGTTAGTTAAGTCTTTTTGAGAGCTTTTCTAAAGTGAAGACGAATTATGCTTTATTACGTATTTACTAAGCGTGAATCATTATTAATTAAATCTTTGTTCATTATTAATTAAGTCTTTGTTCATGCTTTATTAAGGCTAAGTAAGGTGTAGTTATTATAAAGTGTTACCGAGTTTGCAGAAGACAATTGAAACTACTAAAAGTGCAATTTCAGTTCATTTGTGATTAAAAGGAAATATTGCGCAGTTTTCTGATCTTTGTTATGATGTTGTTTCTTCATCACAAACATACCTGGAGTTGTGTTTTGTTTAATTCACACATGTTTAACAGCGCACCTTTTCTCCACGGCATTTGCCTAGAGTTAGGAAGAGACACCTTGGCACCTTGCTGTTATTATTATTTTTTATTATTATTCTAATTAATTTGTCTATTGTATGTTTGTTTTTTCACTGTTCAGCACTTTGGTAAGCTTTGGCTGTTTTAAATGTGCTATACAAATAAATTTGATTTGATTTGAACACACAAACCCTGCATATTTAGAGCTGTTCTCTCAAACGGAAAACACTCTGTTCCACCTTGTGATGTCATCTGGTAATACAGGAAGTGCTCCACTGTGTTTTTAAACTCCGTACACCTTCACTAGAATGATTTAGATGATTTCAGCCCTGGAATTGCCAATCTGTACTGAACTAAATATAAAAGATAGCTGTTAACTTGAAAAGACAGACAGAGTAATAATAAAGGATTACTCAAACATGAAACAAAATGAATGAAACAAAACAACTCTAACTGTTTTTGAGGAGGTAACAACATTGTGTCTTAAAGCTCACTGCAATCCATTTTGTGTAATATAAGACCTTTAATGCTACAGCCCTATTAGGAGGTAATTCACTGAGGCTATAGGAAAATGAAAAGAAGGCTGTAAAACTCTATACATTTAATAACCACTAACATTTATAAATCCTGTCAAATGCATCTCTGGTCCCCTGTTTATTTAATGACTCAAAGTGGAGCTCATTCGTATTTGTTCCTGGCTGAGATACAGTGGGATATTGCTTCTATTTCAGTGGCACATTAGCGATAAGTGCGCTCCGTGTTGACTATGGCCTGTGTCTGTGCAGCTCCATCATTGGGACCAGCGTGGCCTCTCTGCTCATGACCATGGACGAGATGCACATTCTCAGCAAAAAGATGTTCTTCAACAGCCTCAGCCTACACGCCAGCAGGCTCATGGACAAGGTACTGTATGTGCTAGTGGTACTATAGCGAAAGTATATGTATAATGATTAGGGGTGTAACGGTATCCAAGTCTCACAATACGATATCATCACGGTATGACTCTCACGGTACGATATTTATTGTGATATCATGGGAAAGCTCACGATTAGGAATGTAACAATATCCAAATCTCCTGGTACGATGTTTTCACGATATACATCTCACAGTATATTTATTGTGATATTTTGTGGAGGCTAACAAAAGTATACATGCATCACGAATTTCAGACTTCCGGTCATTGCGCAATGCATACTGGGAAGGATTTTCTGAAAAAGTGAGCATCAAACCTCCATGTTTGTTTTCCCAGTGGGACGCGTCTGTTGACAAAGCCGATCTTTTCGAGTCTTTTGAACTATATCGCGTTTGTTTCTAGTTCTGATATTGTCATTCTTTAGTTTTGGGATTCGGACATCGTAATTATGTGGTTGTTGGATGTCCTAACAGCAGAAAACAGCTCGAGAAATGTGTTTGCGAACTTCATAACTGCGATTTTGCATGTGAAGGGCCGTCAAAGCAAAATCGCAATCCCTCACTCAACCTTGGTTACGAAGGCCAAAGCGAAAGGCACCAACTGTTCACCAAGAAACACCTTCCACTGCAAAGCGACCAAGATGTGATGTTGCTGTAAAGCCACAAGAACAAAAAAATGCGAGCTCAGCCTGTTTGTCTTCTGTACCTCTCGCTTAACAAACAGCATTTTGCTTTGTTGGTGCTCCATATATAAAATGTTCGCTGCAAACTCAGGATGATTTCTTAGGCAGCCAAAGGTTTTTGTCCTTCCTGTGTATCAATCCTGCCCATCGCCTTCGCTTTTCACTATTTTTCAATTCCGTTGGGAAGGGAAACAGTTTGAATGGAGGTTTGCAGTCACACAGATCTGATTCCCTTTTGCATTTATGGAGTTCGCAACCTTCCGAAGCTCATTTTTTGAGCCATTTATCGCTGTTAGAACTTCCAACAACCACACAATTACGATGTCCGAATCCCAAAACTAAAACATGACAATATCAGAACCAGAAACAAAAGTGATATGGTTCAAAATTTGGCAATAGATTCATCCCACTGGGAACTCAAACAAGGAGGTTTGATGCTAAATTTTTCTGAGGATCCTTCCCAGTATGAATTGCGTAATGACTGGAAGTCCGAAATTTGTGATGCATGTATTGCTGCACCATAACTCTTAATTGAAGAGACTTGTAATTTGATATATTGTGATGGCCCACGAGAAGTTTGATTGTGAGAACTCTGAAGATACAATATCACGATATTTTGGTTATTGTTACATCCGTAATTATGATTATTTGAATTTTATAAATATTACTTCGTACCAGTTTATACTGTCTACCTTGTGATTGGTTTTAATAACACATGAATAAAGACATAATTCGTAATGAACACATAGTTTATTAAGATTATATTTTTTTAGCTTTTCTACGATGTTATGTTATTCCCTCATCAAAAACATGCCTAAAGTGGTTTAAGTGTCATGTCATCCATCCATTTTATAATTTAACGATCTCTCCCAAGTCCCATTCAAACCCTCCTTACATTTCCATTTATTTGTCACTTCTTATTTGTTTGTAAAGCATCTTTGAGTGTCCAAGAAAGCGCTGTATAAGTCCGATGTATTATTATTATTTAGTTGTAAGATTCTGCGCAATGCTCCTTCCATAGACCATGATCCCACATGACAGTTTTCCATAAATATATTTTTAAAATGATATAAAACTGTACACAACAACTTGACAAACCTGATGTGATGTGCAGTAGTATAGTATATCAAAATATATACATCATACAATAACAATAAATGGTAACATAGTGATTTAAATGTGTTATTTGTCAGAAGTTACAAAAGTAAGTCAAAAGTAAGTCAAATCCTCCCTTTTCTCATTATTTAAATGTGTCTATATTTGCACACTTCACTTTCTACCGCAGCATAAATGAGCCCCATGCTAAAAACACAGGAGCTTAAATTGTCCTCCAAATAAAGGCGGACACGAGCAGCTCTCCTCCCCAGAGCGCCTGGCAGTGTCCTGATCAATAGCAGTTCCACAGATTATCTCTCAGATCAATGTTAATCAGATCAGAGCTCCTGTGGGTTTCACGCTCTATTCCTCTAATCCCAGGAACACAGGCCTCTCATAATTGTGTCCATTAGGCTCTCGGAGGAGGCACGGCTCAGGGCTGTGTTCAGGGCCTGGAAATCAAGAGCTCCTTCATTACGAAGCTCTCCACAGAGGGCCAAGGAGGACTGCTCTTTATCAGATATCTCTCCTGTGGCAATTCTGAGCTCACGTTTTGAAATTAAAAAGTCAAATAAAAGTGGAAGTGGCTCTAAAATGCAGGAATTATATTTATTTATTGTATTTTAATAGATTTTCTAGGCTTTTCTTTTACCAAACAGTTGTTCCTGTGTCATGGTTCAGTATTCAAGTGTGTGTGTGTGTGTGTGTGTGTGTGTGTGTGCAGGTGGAGCTGCCCCCTGCAGACCTGGGACCCACTGCGTCCCTCACACAGACCCTTTCTCTGCTCAGAGAGGTGCTGGCCTCACACGACTCTTCTGTGGTGCCTCTGGATGCTCGCCAGGCTGACTTCGCTCAGGTACGTTAAGGAAAAATAAGGTTCCTATATTTATCTTTTGTGTATTATCAAAATACATGAATGACATCATGAAGGTACTTTGTGTAAATTAATATGAGGTGATATATTTTTCATTCATTCATTTTATTTATTTGAGCAAGGTACAACAAAAATCAACAACAACTAGAAAAGCACTCAGAGAGCGCAGACCTCCTCCAAGGACTACCCCCATTTTTTATATAAATTGCGATAAAATCAGTCTTCTGGATCAGATCCGGATCAGCCTTTGGAATATGAAAGAGGATCCCATTGTCCATCCCTGAGTCAAATTTCATGGGGTTTGGTCAATAATTAACCGACATATTGAGAAACTAAATTTTTGGCCCCATTTACCACAATGTTAACTAAAATTTCAAAGTGATCCAGAATCCAGGATTTCTTCCGGATCACCCCCAAAATGAAATCAGTTCTTCCTTTTCACATTTCCAACAAATCCTGAAAATTTCATCAAAATCGGTCCATAACTTTTTGAGTTATGTTGCTAACAGACAAACAAACAAACAAACAAACAGACAAACGCCGGCAAAAACATAACCTCCTTGGCGGAGGTAATAACAAAGACAAGGATGTACATGTACATATTTGGGACCTGGTGCTCAAAGGGAGTAGCATGAAGTTTAAAAAACTTGTGTCCTACCTGAATTGTTTTATATGATGACATGATGGACCTTTTTGGAGTGCCTACCTGTCATGTGCATTGCATGAATATACACACATATATACATATATACACATAAGAATAACATATATACATGTGGAAATATATTTTCGTTTATGGTCATACAAACTAATAATAATGTTAAAGTAGGCACAAAGTTTATAATTTATGATCGCACAAAAAAAACATGAATGAAAAATTTAAGGATGTTTTTCTTTTCGTTTATGGTCGTACAAACTAATAATAGTAAATAAAGAAGGCACTAATGTTTATCGTTTATAAACATACAAGGTAAACCGTAATAAAGATGAAAAATGTATGGATTTTGGTTTTCATTTATGATCGTACAAACTAATAATAATGATAACAATGGCACAAAAGTTTATCGTTTATCAAATTTCAAGCATTTTTTATGTTCAAGTATGCGATATAAGTGCAATTTTTGAGTTCTGATTTTCTTTAGGGAACTGAGGGTAACAAAACAATAATGCTGAAAAAAATTCTAGCCTTTATGTTTATCATATAATAATAATAATAATAATAATAATAATAATAATAATACATTTTATTTATATTGCACTTTACATAAAATAATCTCAAAGTGCTACAGGTAAAAACAATGAGTAAAAAAGTGCATCAGCAAACAGTGGATCAAGCTAAAACCATTGCAGGAATTAATAAGATCAAAACAAGAATAAAATACAATTAACAAAAGGCTTTAATAAAAAGGTACGTTTTAAGATTTAGTTTAAAAGCAGAAATAGACTGTGGGGCTCTCAAATGGTCGGGGAGTGCATTCCAAAGCCTTGGAGCAGCAGAGGAGAAGGCCCGATCACCCATGGTGCAAAGTTTGGTTCTGGGGGGTTGGAGAGTGTTAGTGGCTGCAGAGCGGAGGGTGCGTGAGGGGGTCTGGGGAGTGAGGAGTTCCTTAAGGTACTGGGGGGAGTGACCGTGGATGCACTGGTGAGTGAGGAGGGAGACCTTATACTCAATCCTGAGTGTGATAGGAAGCCAGTGAAGGGATTTCAGGATGGGGGTGATGTGGTCAAATTTTCGCACCCATATATATATATATATATATATATATATATATATATATATATAGGCATATAGAACAATTCTACAGTGTCTTTGTTTCTCTAATCTCCCCTCCTCCTCTTCTCAGGTGCTCTCGTGCATCCTGGACCCCCTCCTCCAGCTCTGCACCGTCTCTGCCAGTAACCTGGGCACAGCGGACATGGCCACCTACATGGTCAACTCCCTGTACGTCATGAAGACCACGCTGGCTCTGTTTGAATTCACCGACAAGAGGCTGGAGATGCTCGAGTTCCAGGTCAGACACACGTACTACTGTTTACTCACTGGCAGTGTTCACATGCTCATCCAAAATCTGGTCATTAGCTCATTTCTGGGGTTATCAGATTACTGAAAGGTCATGTGAACAGTGGCTGCAGTTACATGTGCGCTCCAAATCTGATTATTAACAGATTTCGAACCTGATTAAAATATTACACTATTTTCTGATCTGTTATAATGTTGTTTTCTCATCTAAACATACCTGGTTTCATTCACACATGTTTAACACACAAACCCTGCATATTTAGGCTGAGTCCTTCTCTCAAAAACACTGTTCCACTTTGTGAGGTCGAGTGGCAGAGGTGAGGACTTGTTACTCGTGACATGGACTCGAGTCAAACTTGAGTCACTATTTTTAGGACTTGAGGCTTCACTTGGTAAAATGGAGTAAGATTTGGGACTCGACTTGAACTTGAAGGTCAGTGACTTGGGACTTGACTCGGACTTGAGAAGCACTTTTATATCTGAATTCTTTCTATTTTAACCATATTGATTCACACTAAGATTTTGACATTTAAAAAGGAAAAATTTACTAAATTAATTTCTACAACTCTTATATACTCTATAAATACTGAAATATAAATATACTATGATTTTTTTTAAGTACAATTTATCTTAAAAGTTGTATAAATTGCAAAAATCTAAGCTATATATTTGGTACTTTGGTTTAAAGACATGAAATGACTTGAAGCTCAAAGCAGACGACTTGGACTTGACTTGGATTTATGGGCCAGTGACTTGAGACTCGACTTGGACTTGCCTGTATTTGACTTGGGACTTGAGGTCAAAGACTTGAGACTTACTTGAGACTTACAAAACAAAGACTTGGTTCCACCTCTGTAAGTAAGTGTGGTAAGTTTTAAACTCCATACACCTTCACTAGAATCATTTGGATGATTTCAGTCTTGGAATTCCCAGTCTCTGCTGAACCAAAGGTAAAAAGTAGCTTGAAAACTACTGACATCACAAGGTGGAACAGAGTATTTTAAGCTTTGGAGATGTAGACAGACTAATAAGAAAGGCTTACTTAAACATGTGTGAATGAAACTAAACGCAACTGCTGGTATGTTTCTGAGCAGGTAACAGCATTCTAAAACAAATAAATGTAAAGTAGTGAGTACTAATACTACTACTACTACTGCTACTACAGATACTACCATAGTTTGATTTTTGACAGTACACAATTAATCCTTCTATATAATGATAATGATATATAATGATGATATAATGATGAATTGTAACCCAAATAATAGCGATTTTTTTGTATATTTTAACAAATTTAGTACTCTATCTTTCTTGCCCACAACTTTACCATCTACGCGAGCTCTTATCTGAAAACTATGTCAAAATCTCAAACACGCCATTGTAAAGTCTCACATATGCCGTATTCTGTCTTTCTTTCTATGCAGATCCATAATCTACCCAAAAGACTTCATTTTCCCTCTCGCAAAGCAGTGCGTCATGCATTGTTGTGGTTTGAAAAGCGCCATCTAGCTGCCTATTTTTAGCGCACCTTTTGTAATTGAGCGGCACAAGAGCAGCCGTGGAAGTAGCACAATGCTTCTCCATTAAGACCCAGTACAATTAGCTTTCATAGGGCTTTCATACGACTCTGCTCTCATGGGCCATTCTGTTCCATTCTGCTCCATTCTGTTCCATTGTGTGCAGATAGAGGCTCATCTTGACACGCTGATCAACGAGCAGGCGTCCTACGTCCTGACCAGAGCCGGACTCAGCTACATCTACAACTGTGTCCAGCAGCACAGCCCCGAGCAGGTTACTATGGCTACTATGTTACACAGTTTGTACCATTAGAGATTAGAGAAGTGGAGGGCTAAAAGATTAGGAGATATTTTTGACAAACATTGTGATTAGATTTGTGATTTTTGTTTTAATTGGTGGTTTTCAGATTCAAGAATGTGATGAGGTCAAACTCCCAGATGGGGGGAAGACTCAGTTTTTCCTCTTAATCAGATTGAACTTTGCCAAGGGCGTAGGTTTGGTTTCAGTTTTGGTGGGGACATTATCAGATAACCCCCTCCAACTGATTACTTGTAGGTTGCTTTACCGGATAACAGCGATGTAGAAGTTTGTAGAAGATTTCCCTTTGCTTGTTGGTGATGAGATATTTGTGAGGTAATATCCGTACATTTTTCCATGGAATATTGTCAATAGAGTCGGGCTGCTAACAGCGCACGAGTAGAGCTCCGTTTGGGAGGTGCACTTGTGGTGATAGTCGCTCTTTTTCCGTGGCGACTCATTATAAGGCAAGTTTAATTGAAGATGAAGCCAAGTAAGTTCCTTTTGAGAAGTTTTTCAAAGTTTGGCGTGCAGCGTCTTGACTCACGTCTGCTCAAGCTCACATCTTCAGGTGCTGGTCCTGTCCTGCCGCTTCCCCAGTTTAGGCTCCTGTCTCCACTAATGACATCACTCTGTTGCAGCCAATGAAACAGCGGCAGGAGTAACCCTGTCGTCATATCACTGAATACATCTCAGAACGTCTAATAAACAAAATGTGAACTAAAACGTGTTCAATTAATACTAATGAGTTTGGGAAAATATCAGAATAAATTAATATTTTTGTATATTAAAATAAAATGGCAAATATTGGTTGTGACATGTCCCCACCGTCCCTATGCAAACCTACGCCCTTGGACTTTGCCATGAAATAACCAAAAGGTAAATGCAGAACCTGATCATTTTTGTTCTTGGTTTGAACCACGTACTTACTGTTTTACAACAAAATACTGCATTTTAACAGTATCAGTTTGAACTGCCCCCGTCTGTATTAAATATAATTGGTCTATAGATTGAGTGATGTTATCTGAAAAACAACAATAATAGGATTATGTTCCAAGTTCACATTTTAAACTCGTACAGAAAAATTGACAAAGACTGAATTATGAAGTGATAAACTAATACAAGAAGCACATTTAGACATTTTTACAGATCTAAACACATGATTATTTTGTTGTGTATTTAGAAAATGATGGTGCTTTAAAAACTGCATTTTTTGAGATTTGCTCATTTGCCTTTAAATTGCAATTTTGATTTGATTCTGATTAACCTGCCAGCCCTCATAGAGTATGTGAAAACTCCAAGTAAAACTACTCAAGTAAGAGTAAAAAGGTATCTGGGAAAGCTGCTATTCATTTAAGAGTGCCATTACTTCCAAACAGTAAGAAGTAAAGGTACAAATTAAGGCAAGATTTTAATAAATTATGAGTAAAATGTGTTTGGGGACAACTACTACCAAACGAAAAGTGCTGTTACTTCCAAATAGTAGTACAAAGTAGTGGTCCAAGACACTGCCTCTCAACTAAGAGTAACTAAACTAAACTAAACTACTCCTCAAGTAAAAGTGCTGTTACTTCCAAATAGTATTGCTCAAATAGAAGTACAAAGTAGTGGCAGAAATAGAAAATATTCATGTAGAAGTTCAAGTAACTCTACTACCCAAATAAGAATTACTTGAGTGGTAGTTTTTTGACCCACTTCAAAGCATTTTTACTTAGGTAGTAGTTTCTTGGACCATTTCATTGTACTTCTACTTAATAAGAGCACTCTTACTTGATTAGTAGTTTCTTGGACCATTATTATGCAGAGTGCTGTTATTTCCAAATAGTATTACTTAAGTAGAAGTATGATGTAGCAGTCCAAGAAACTACTACCCAAGTAAGAGTGAAAACGTTTTTTACTACTCTAGAAAGCATAATTGAAAGTGGAACTGTCTTGATATTTGATGAAGTTATTAAGTTAATCTAAGAATAAAGCTTAAATGAATGCTCACAATCTGGTATTCCAAGGAGAGAATAACAAAAATGATACTACCAAAATAAATCATAAATACGTTTATCTTTAGTTAAAGTTGTGTGAATGAGACAAAACACAACTCCAGATAATTAAGTTTTATATTTAACTACCCTAAACCTTACAAACTTTGAAGTACTTTTTAATTTTGATATGATAAACTTCTGATGCTTACCTTAACTCAGCCTTGTCACCAGTGTAAAAAAAAAAAAAAAGAAAAAGACAGACCTTTCTATCGCCTCCCTCCTTTCTATTGCCATTGTTATACTACCACTTATGCTTTTACAATATCTATCACCATGGCAACCTTATGAACAAAAAACCCACCAGCTTTTCTATCAGCTACCTGAATGAAAAATAAAAGACGGGACCTATTATTAGTCTCCATTAAAATGAAAAATCTATAGAAATATCCAATGAATCCTTCCTCTCGTAAACTAACACATGAGAGTTGTGGGTCATACCGGGACACACCACACCCAAAGCTGCATACGTTGTCATTTAGGCACTACTTTCTCTCGGTCTTTTTGCGTGGCCTTGGCTCTTAAGTCCTTAAATAACACGGAAGGCAGAGTTAGTATTATACCTATTAGGGAGTAGTTTAGCGGAGGTGAAAGTACTTGAAATGTGTTAGCTAAAAAAAATCGTTGGTGAAAGTTTTCGAAGAGGGACAAGCACTCAGCTGAGTAATTGCTTGAAAGAGCTTATATTCCGCTATTTTCTGATCTATCTTATAATGTTTCCTCATCGAAAACATGCCTGGAGTTGTGTTTTGTTTCTTTCACACATGTTTAAAACACAAAAAAAACATATTTAGGCTGAGTTCTTTTCTCAAACTGAAAACTTGAACTCGCCGTATGAGGCAGTCCTCAAAAGTTGTTTTTTAGATTACTTTTTGGCAAATAATAACATGTCGACATCTTGTATTTTGTTGATTTTTTTTTTCAATTAAAAAATGATATTTATATGAAGTATTTATATTTAAATAATTATATGACCTCTTTATATTTGCCGCCGAATTTTCGTCACCTGACAAGCTCGAGATCGATCAGTGACGGTCAACGCACACGCAGAATTCTGTAGTGCAGTTATATAGGTAGGTTAGGTTGCTTTTTTCATACCCGTAGATAAATTTGTTTGTAGATTTGGGAGGCAGGTCCCACATTTCACATTTCAGTCATCGACATATCCAGTAAAACCTATGAAAACACAATCACAAAATAAAGTGTCCAGTGCAGAGAGTTGGTGCCATCAACGATTAGTTAAATTCATCCATCACACTTGGCTAAAATCACAATAAATATTAAATGTATGAAAAAAAACGACAAACAAACGTGAAATTGATAGATAAATAGATTATAGTTTATTCATAAGTATGATAGCAGCCGGTACGAAGCGCCTTTTAAAATGATTTGTTGTAGATCTTGGGACTAAAAGCGTCTGACCAGAGGGAAGCAGCTGAAACTCTGAGTTTAGTGGATGTTGCACGTCTTTTAAAATACTCCAGGACATCCTCTGTAAGTGTTTTGAGTACAGGGAGTCCAGGCGGCTCTGAGGATGGACAATCACCTCACTCGCCCATTTAACCAGCTGTTTCAGGGAGTTCTTGTTTTTAGCAGAGTAGTTAAGGACCACAGAATAGCAAATGTTAAAGTACAAAAACTTGTGAGTGCTGAGTTTTCAAAAGAACAGTGGATGAGCGTGACAGTGTAAGGTCAGTGCAGTTTGTCTGATATGTAAAGAAAGTGTGGTGGTTTTTAAAGAATATAATCTGCGTCGTCAGGGTCATTCAAATTCTGTTACACGGCCGACTCAACCCCAGCCCCCATCACAGTCAGGAATGAAAATGTGGCCCCCAGAGGAAAAAAGTTTGGTGACCCCTGCCATACACCTTCACTAGAATCATTTGGAGAATTTCAGACCTGGAATTCCCAATCTCTACTGAACTAAAAGTAAAAGATCGCTGTTAACGTGAACATTTTGAGCTTTGGGACGGTGGTTGACACTTTTACATTTCACAACACACATTAACAAGTTTGAAAACAACATTTACAATACTTTTTTACATGTTGAAAACAAATTTACGTTTCATAAAACACACAATGAGCAAACAAATTTACAAAACACGAAACTCTTGTACAAGCACTGAGACAAATTTACATGTGGCAAAAACACAAATACAAACCCCCCCCATCCCAAAACACATTTACAGGAAAGTTTTTGACGGAAAGGGAAAAAGCGGAAACAACAATCGACAAGCAAGAAGCGAAAAGCAATTCAGAAAGAGCTCTCATTACACTTTTAACTTTAGGAAATCATTACTAACATAACTGTAAACCTAAAATATGGCCATAACTTACAAAACTGTCAAATACATTTTTAACTGCATGACCCTCGGAGCTTTGAGCTAAAAGTTTGGCTGTGGCGATGAAAAGTCCGCTCAGACTTTCGTATTTGGACAGATTTCCATCAAACACTTTTGCCACATGTAAATTCGTCTCGGCGCTTGTACAAGAGTTTCGTATTTTGTCAATTTGTTTGCTCAATTGCACATGTGTTTTATGAAACGTAAATTTGTTTTCAAGATGTAAAAGTGTATTCTAAATGTGATTTTGTTTTCAAACTCATTAATGTGTGTTGTGAAATGTAGAAGTGTTTTGAATTTGCCGGCCACCGTACTTTGGAGATGTGAAAAGACTAATAATAAAGGATTACTGAATGAAACAAAACACAACTCCAGGTATGTTTTTGAGCAGGTAACAGCTTTATTAACATGGCTTAAAGTTCACAAGCTTTAATTTTGTGTAATATAAGATCTTTAAATCAGCTTTACACTCAATTCAAGATTTAACAAATTGCTGTTACCACCACCAGAGGCCGCTGTTAGCCCTTCCACACACGTTTTGTCATATTTCCCATTGCATAAAGTACCTAAAATTAAATTGTGCCTTACCTGAAATTGCTTTAAATGCCCATCGGAATAGGCCAGTCTCTTTGTATATACTGCGTTATGTCCGCACGCTTCATAAACCCTTGTGTAAGTACTGAAGTGCAGCTCTGACCCTGCCCTTAATGTGGGTCATTTAGGTCTTTAAGCTGAGTCTAATGTGGCCATCCAGGTAATCACAGCTGCTTAATTGCCTTAAAGGTACTTACTTCTTTGCTTTTGACTGTGTATTTTGTCACGCTAGATTCAAGATAAAGGGAAATACATACAAAAATAAAAAATCCTGGTTTGAAGGTATAGTTTAAAAAAAATTTAAATCATAAAATTGTCATGAGCTTTTCTTTATAACAGTCATATCTGATGTGTTATAATGTAGTTTCCTCATCACAAACAGACCTGGAGTTGTGTTTTGTTTCATTCACACATGTTTAACACACAAACCCTGCATATTTAGGCTGAGTTTTTTCTTTTCTCAAACTGAAAAACACTCAACAGGAAGTGCCCCACTGTGTTTTTAAACTCCATACACTTTCACCAGAATTTCCCAATCTCTACTGAATTAAAGGTAAAAAAGAAGCTGTTCACTTGTAAACTACCGCGTCATGACATCACAAGGTGGAACAGAGCATTTTGAGCTTTAGAGATTTAAAGAGACTAATAATAAAGGTTTACTCAAACTTATGAATGTGTGAATGAAACAAAACACAACTCCAGGTCTGCTTTTGAGGGAATAACAACATTATAACATGACTTAAAGTTCACAAGAGTCAAGTTTGCATAATATAGGACCATGAATAATGAGAGTAGCTTTTTTGTTCAATAAATTGTATAATATAATATAACTGGCAAACACAATTTTGAATGAGCTTAACTCTTAACACTTATAATTGTCTAACTTTTTGGCTAACTACCCAAATCAACCTATGACAATTGTTTTTGTCCCTGAATTTGTATTTATTGTTATTAAAATTAGCTGAGAGAGTTCCTTTTGATAGTTTTTCATCCTTTTCTTTTGTTTTCCTGTCATAATTGTTTTGATACGGACAGACCATGCTCATCTCTCGTCTGATTGGGTAAGAATCCACCTGTCAATCACACCCATATCTGAAGGAGGAGATGAGCCGATGACCAGACTCACATCTCCATATACTATTTCAGAAATATTCCTTAGACTTAGATTTAAACTTGAACAAATGTTATAGACCCACAAGGGGAATTATGTGGACACAGTAACACACATCACAATAAATATAATAAAGAGAAAGAATATAAATGGTAATAATAAATTCAAAATAAATAGTAAAATATTTGTTGTACTGTTGTAGGGAGTATTACCTGTTACATAAGGGTGACTTGTACTGCTGTAGGGAGTATTATTTACTACACAAGGTTGAGTTGTTGTACAGTTGTAGGGAGTATTATCTGTTACATAAGGGTGAGTTGTTGTACAGTTGTAGGGAGTATTATCTGTTACATAAGGGTGAGTTGTTGTACAGTTGTAGGGAGTATTATCTGTTGTATAAACATGAGTCGTTGTACAGTTGTAGGGAGTATTATCTGTTGTATAAACATGAGTTGCTGTACAGTTGTAGGGAGTATTATAGTATGAATGTAGTCCTGTATCTCTCACTGTTTGAGTGGAGCTGTAGGAGTCTGTTGGAGAACAAGCTCCTCTGTCTCCTCTGTAGTCTGGTGCATTGAGTGAGTTGTTGTACAGTTGTAGGGAGTATTATCTCCTCTGTCCGTCTATAGTCTGGTGCAGTGGTTGAGCAGGAGCGTCCACGACGGAGAGCAGTTCGTTCCAATGTCTTCCTGTCCCTCACTGTCTCCAGATGTCTCTTCTAGATCTCTTTCCCCACAATGCTTTTAGTTTCCACTCCTCACTTGTTTTCTTTTTCATTGTCATAGTTTTTTTCGCTTCTGCAGAGCCTCCAGCGTCAGTGTTTAGCGGCGAATTATCCACAATCTCTGCCCGCCTCGCCTCACTACCGTCCAAATCACACTTCAGATTTGGTCCTGATTAGTCGTCCTCCTCCACATTATCCACATAACAGACACCATTTAACTGCTGTTTTTAGCTCGTGTAAGTTGTTGATCTGCGTGACCTACATGGCCGAACAAAGGGCCCCGCTTCAGAGGCGGTTTCGGGGCCCCGAGTCGGTGGCCCCTCTTTTGTTACGGGGGGGCCTCAAGGTTGAGAGTGACAGTTACCATGATGTAACCTAGATTCTCCTGGGGGGTCATCCTAGGACGTGCACCTCCTGATTTCATTTGGAGCTGTTTTTGGCGCTCTCGAAAGTCTCGCTGACAGTTTAAAGTGATTAGGGCCAAACGAAAGCCTCACATATTTTATTAAAAGATAGGAGTGACTTATCTGGAAGGTTCTGTCGACGCTAACATCATTCCTGTGACCTACTTTTGGTTTTTGATTGTCCAGTTGAGATCAATACACTTTAGTTTTTTATTTTTCATTCATTTTATTATGTTTTGACTATTTATTCGGACACTTTTTTCACAAATAGCTGCTTTTGCGATTAAAATAAGTCTGGCCCATGCCCTTTAATGCTGTAAAAAAGATTAAATTTAGTTTTTATGTAATATTTTTGAGTCACTGCTGAGCTAGATCTGATTACTTTGTTTTCTAGGGCCCCCTGTCCCTCCTTCCCAGCATGGACAACTCATCTGTCAAAGCAGCTATGGTAAGTTTTACAGCGAGTCTCTTTTCATGCGTGCAAAAATATTGTGTGGTGTTTTTCAAGCACACACATTCAGTTCTAAAATCTATCTAAAAATGATCTATTCAGGGGTATTTATTTATTTATTTACCTTTTGAATAATGTTCTCGTTGTGGTAAAACCATAGCACCGCAGCTTTCTTCGTCACATGTCTGTTTTCTTGTTGTGTAACACAGGTCCAGTTTGATCGGTACCTGTCGTCTCCGGACACTCTGGTGATGCCACAGCTCAACTTTCTGCTCAGCGCAGCCATCAAGTCAGTCCTGCTTTATTTTTACATTCAGATATTATGTGTGCACACTTAAAGGTTGTATAGAGGATTTTCCAAGGAACGAGAAATCCAGCGACTGTTTGTCCTTTTTCAAATGTTGCGCATGCGTGAAACCACCCCCCCTCCCCTACAGCTCCTACGTAGAAACGCCTCCTCCCGCCTCCTCTTTACGCCAGAAACAGGTTTGTTTACAGCCGGTGCGCTGCACATGACTTGTAAACAACTAACTACAGTGTTGGTTAGGCAAGGCGGAGAAGTGAGGAGCGGGGGGAGCGGGTGTGCGGACATTTCGTGCGCGGACGAGAAGTGAGGAGCAGGGAGAAGAGCGGAGCAGGGAGAGAGAGAGGAGAGAGAGAGGAGAGGGGAGCAGTGCGCGGAGATTCCGTTCCCGGAGAAGTGAGGAGCAGGGGGAAGAGCGGAACGGGCAGCGGGGACAGGAGCAGGAAAGGGGTGCAGAGAAGGTTGCCCGGAGATTCAGTGCGAATGAACTAGCTACAACACGCAGCAGCAAGCGGACTCTTTCTTTGCCTTGAAAATTACGTTTTCAGACATAGGATATCGCTTTCGTGTCCTGAAAAACGTTTGTCTAGCTCTTGGAAATAAAGTACGTTTTCATAATAAGCAGAAGTGACCTGTCCAGGAGTAATTTGGCGACCAATGCGTCAGTCTTTAGACCCTGCGTCTGCTTCAGTCGCGCCATCGCTGGAATGAATCTTCAAGAATCACCTTAGTTTGGCTTCGCTGCTTTTCCAATTGTCTTCTTCTTTCAGCAATCTCAAAAACGGACTTTCTTTTGCGGCTAACTGCTCCTGGATTCTTGTCGCCATTGCAACAAACTTTGTGCTAACTGCGAGGAAGATATAGGTCAAAAAAGCCGCTAAGAACTGTTGCGTTGGTGGAGTAAACAGCGTCTGTGCGGCTTGCGTCTGTGGACTGCGTGACAGGCGTACGTAAACCACGTACCGGCGGCGCGCAGGCAAGTCAGTTACGCTAGAAACGTAGGGAGATTGATTGACAGCCTGTCAGCTCACAGATAACGAGGCAGTGTCGTTATCTATTGGCAAATGTTTAGCCCCACCACGTCCAGAGTTGATGAATTTTTATTCTCTTTTTTTTGGTCATCATAATTACAAGGCTACTGCACCTCTATAATGCTATCATTGACAATTTGAAACAAAAAAAATCCTCCATACAACCTTTAAAGCCCTGTTTTATTCTTACATATCACCACTAGACGCTTTCTACATCTGACTGTAATACTTATAATAATGCATTCGTTTTGTATAATGGTTTTCCAGATGCTCAAAGTCGCTTTACAATTTTATACATTATTCAATCACTCCACACTTTCTTGGACCAGATCATAATACTAAAATATATATACTAAATATACTAAAAAAGATCATCATCATCATCATCATGAAAGATATACTAAAAATGATGGTTTCTAGAGCAGAGATCTCAAGTTCGATTGTTATCACGATTCATTCAGTTAGTATCTTTATTAGGGCTGGGTATTGTTTAGAAGTTGCCGATACGATACTGGATATATAGGCCACGATACGATACATACCTCGATACGCACGCCACGATACGTACCTTGATACATAGGCCATAATACGTACCTTGATACATAGGCCATAATACGATACATACCTCGATACACAGGCCACGATGCGATACATACCTCGATACACAGGCCACGATACGATACATACCTCGATACACAGGCCACGATACGATACATATCTTGATACACAGGCCATGATACGTTACATACCTCGATACATAGGCCACGATACGTACCTTGATACATAGGCCATAATACGATACATACCTCGATACACAGGCCACGATGCGATACATACCTCGATACACAGGCCACGATACGATACATACCTCGATACACAGGCCACGATACGATACATACCTCGATACATAGGCCACGATACGATACATATCTTGATACACAGGCCATGATACGTTACATACCTCGATACATAGGCCACGATACGATACATACCTCGATATATAGGCCACGATATGATACATACCTCGATACACAGGCCACAATACGATACATACCTCGATACATAGGCCACGATACGATACATACCTCGATATATAGGCCACGATATGATACATACCTCGATACACAGGCCACAATACGATACATACCTCGATACATAGGGCATCATACGATACATATCTTGATACACAGGCCACAATACGATACATACCTCGATACACAGGCCACAATACGATACATACCTCGATACATAGGCCACGATACGATACATACCTCGATACACAGGCCACGATACGATACATACCTCGATAAATAGGCCACGACACAATACATACCTCGATACACAGGCCACGATGCGATACATATCTTGATACAGTGCACTTTCGGTTCAATACAATATATTTCAAATCAATTCAAGTCGGTTCAATAAAAATAAAGGCTTAAATCTTGGCTGTGATACTAAAAGTCTTTGTTAAACCACTTCCTGTACAAAGTGAATATGAAACACACTGATTTTAATCCTCAAAACAGTGAAAATGTCGCCTAAACGTGTTTCCTTCCTCTAAACAAGCAACAAAACTGTAGCTCTGTAGCAAAATAATTGAGTAAAATATACCAAAAAAAAACTCTTGGCGATATATCGATACAGCAGCCCATGATATTGAATCTGTATCATCACATTAAACAATACGATATATCAGTATTTCAACATTTTTGCACACCCCGGATCATTCTTATGAGCTATTTTCAGGTGCTAAAAGTCAATTTGTTCAAACCACCTGTCACTCATGTGGAGCATTACGGGCGGTATTTGTGTTTTGCATAGAACTCATTCATAAAAGGTTACTGAGTGAGGTTATTACATTACATTACAACGATTATTCAAATGAACAGGGCTTTCTTTTCAAGTATACTGAGAGTATTTTCTGTAATTCTAGCGTGTGACCTTGTGTTGACTTGGCTTTTACAGTCTCTCATTAGTGTCACTATTAGCAGCTAAACTAAGCACTCAGCTACATGCAGACTACATGTGTGTACTCTGTGTGTGTACTCTGTGTGTGTACTCTGTGTGTGTACTCTCCATGTGTGTACAGTATGTGTGTACTCTGTGTGTACTCTTTGTGTGTACTCGCCCACTCTGCTCCTCACTATTTGTTTTCCTGCTCTCAAAACACACATGCTTTTAACCTCTGCCTGTTTATCTCCTCCTCATCTCTCTCTCTTCACCTCTCTCAATCTCTCTCTCTTCTTTTATCTGCTTCTTATTAGCCTTTTAGCCTCTATACCTCTCTCCTACTCCCTCTCTTTTTTTATTTTTCTCTATTTCCCTGCATCTTCCCTGCACCCCCCTCTCTGCCTCTCTCTACATCCTTCTCTCTCTACCCCCTCCCTCTACCTTTGTGCGGTTATCTCCTCATGTTTCTCTCTATATCTCTCTCTTTCTTTCTCTCTCATCCTCTCTCTATTTCTCTCTTCCCTCACCTTCTCCCTACCCGATCTGTCCATCTCTCCATCTTTCTATCGCTTTCTACATGTCTGTCGCCAAGTCAAATTGCCTCTCTCTCTCCCAACCTCTCTCTCTCCTTTCTCTCAGCTTTTCTTTCTCTCTATGTCCATCTCCCCAACTACCCTCCTCCCTCTCTTTCACCCCATGCTCTCCATCCATCCCTCTGTCAGTTAATCTTTCCAACATTCTCTCTACCTCTCTATCACTCTCTTCCTTTATCTGGTTATCTCCCCATCTTTCTCTCTACTTCTCTCTCTCTCTTAATTTCTCTCTTTATCTCCCTCATCCTCTCCTTGCCTTTATCTCTTTATCTCCCCATCTTATGTTCTACATCTCTCTCTATTTCTCTCTCTATCTCCCTCATCCTCCCCTCTCCCTACCTTTTATTTGTTTATCTCCCATCTTTCTCTCTACATCTCTCTCTCTCCCAATTTCTCTCTCTATCTCCCTCATCCTGTCCTCTTCTGTCCCTGCCTTTATCTCTCCATCTTCCCATCTTTCTCTCTACATCTCTCTCTCCTTCATCCTCTCTTCTCTCTACCTTTTGTGTTTTCCCCATCTTTCTTTCTACATCTCTCTCTATATATCTCTCTCATCCTCTCCTCTCCCTGCCTTTATCTCTTCATCTTCCCATCTTTTTCTCTACATCTCTGTCCATTTCTCTCTCTATCTCCCTCATCCTCTCCTATCCCTACCTTTTATCCTTTTATCTGTTCATCTCCCCATCTTTGTCTCTGCATCTCTCTCCTTCATCCTCTGCTCTCCCTACTGTTTTTGTTCTCCCCATCTCTCTCTCTCAATTTCTGTCTGTCTCCCTCATCCTCTCCTTTCCCTAACCTTTTATCTCTTTATCTCTCCACCTTTCTCTCTACATCTCTCTCTCCCTCATTCTTTCCTCTCCTCACCTTTATCTGTTCATCTCCCCATCTCTCTGTACATCTCCCGCTCTCTCCTTCATCCTCTCCTATCCCTACCTTTTATCCTTTTATATGTTCATCTCCCCATCTTTCTCTCTACATCTCTCTCTCCTTCATCCTCTCCTCCCTATCTTTTTTGTTCTCCTCATTTTATTCCCTACATCTCTTTTCTCTCTCTATCTCCCTCATCCTCTCCTCTCCCTAACCATTTATCTCTTTATCTCTCCACCTTTCTCTCTGGATCTCTCGCTCTCAATTTCTCTCTCTATCTCCCTCATTCTTTCCCCTCCCCACCTTTCTCCGTTCATCTCTCCACCTTTCTCTCTCTGTTTCTCTCTCTCTATTTATGTCTCTCCTCACCTTTATCTGTTCATCTCCCCATCTTTTTCTCTACATCTCTCTCTCCGTCTCCCTCATTCTCTCCTCTCCCTAACCTTTTATCTCTCCACCTTTCCCTCTACATCTCTCTCTCTCGATTTCTCTCTCCCCTCACCTTTATCTGTTCATCTCTTTTCTCCCTCTCTCTCTCTTT